CAGTGTTGAAACGAGTGGAGCAAAAATTCGGTGGGAGAGCGAGGTTCACCGGTGAAGTAGACATCGTCATCAATTGACAAAAGGGACGTATAGCCGCCAGTGATTTCTTCTTCCATCCAGAACACTCGAGATGGTTCATCGCAAATATTGTTGGGCGGGAGATTGTAGTTGGGTTCTTCAGTGGAATCAAACATATCATCATCCTGACCAGGAACATATTTATCCTCATGTCATGGTGAACAGGAAATCCATTGACAATCTGGTGGGTAGTTGGTTAGTCCAATAAATTTGTAGAGGATTTGAATAGCAGACACACTCACCCGTAACCTTTTTGCTGTTTGCTTAATAATTGTCCCACCTTCCGACTGAATTATAGCCTGACAGAATTGAGCCAGGAATTGCCTGGAAACCGTGTAGGTCCTCAGCCAATAGTTTGGTACACATGAATATGAATCACGTGTTAGATCCTTGCGGACTCGAGAGTATTCGGCTACCATGGCAAAAACGTTTCCAGAGTCAAGAACCTCGGCTGCTATGATTTTGGTCGTCTCTTTCACCTTGAAACATTTATTATAATTCACACGGTAGAGACAAATCTTCTGAGGCATGTTGAGCCCATCGGGATCCAGGCTCATTCGAACTCCATCAACCCAGTCAGAGTTGTCGGAATCTCGGTATGACACGGTGTCCTCCATGCTCCCAAATCTCTCCCAAGATAAATCGTTTGGATCCAAGATTGTTATGGCTCGCCCTAATAACAAATTCTTAGTCACTCAAGTCAGGTGGTTATATAAAATAGTGACACTTACAAGATGGGCGGATGCTAAAAATCACAAGTTCGTCGTCCAAGTTTCTGTTCAAGGCTTCAACATGGGGGTTGGTCTCTTGTTGAATGACTGAGGAGAATTTGGGACGTTGATCGTGGTCGTTCTGAACCACTGGCTGAGAGGGAGGAGGAACAAGTGATTTATTTTGGGGTAAATGAGTGGTTGGAGTTGACCGGGTTGCTGATGTCAAAGAAGGTAGACTTGGAGGAGGAGGTAAAGTTGATCGATTCTGCGGTAAGGTTGTGGTCGATGTGGAACCGGTTGCAGATGTTAGAATGGTCAAAGGAAGACTGGATTCAGAGCTGTCACTTTCAGCGGCCGAATGCAAATCTTCATGATATTCAGTGTCCTTTCCTGATCGGAGAGCATATCGCGCAGCTTGAGCATCAATTCCTTCTTGTTCTTCTTCATCAAGGGTGTGCCGTTCAAAGGTGTCCCGGTCATAAATCAAGTCGATCGCCTTTTCCCGCCTTAAGAAATCGACAAACGATTCGTAATCTTCAACAGATCCTCCTTTCTTGGTACCTAACCGACAAAAACTGAAGTGCTCGACACCAAACATTTCCCTGTCCTCAGTCATCTTCGTCCGGAGTTCCACTTTACCATTGAACTTGTTGCAGAGCGTGTCGATCAGCTCTTGAAAAGAATCAGGATTTGACCAGAGCACAAACTGATTGCTTCGAATGACCAATTGTGAAGGGGCATATTTGCCTCGGGCCCACATCTCAAAGCCACATTGGACTGAAATCTTATCGGGAGGATTCGTAGCAGGTAGGGCACCTTTACTTGCCGGAGCTCTTCTTGCAACTGTACGTCCGACTCGGTTGTTCGGGTAAGGTTGAGTTTTCGAGACTCTTGAAGCTCGGGCCGATTCGTATGCAGGGTTCAAGATGGCTGGGACCACAGCTGTGTTGGTAGTAATAAGGTTACAGGTGAGTTACAACGTTTTCAGTAGAACTATATGGGATTTACACGCATGAAATTGCATACTTTGACTGCTGCCGGTGGATCCATTCACCACTGGGTTCACGGCAATAGGAAATGCCATGGAATGTGATGCTTGGGCTGATTCGTATGCAGGGACCACAGCTGTGGTGGGGTATTAGACAGTAGTAATAAAGTTATAGGTGAGTTTTAACGTTTGAAGTAGAACGATATGGGATTTACACGCATGAAATTACATACTTTGACTGCTGCCTGTCAATCCATTCACCACTGGGTTCACGCCAATAGGAAATGCCATGGACTGGCCGAGTGGGCTGGGGACAGTAGGTGTGGTGATTGGATTGGAGTATAACGCTCTGGCCCTTTGGATTGCCTCTTGCCGTTTAGATTGGAGAACCTCTTGAGCCGAGGTCAATTGGCCAGTTGGAGGTCTGATTTTTGGAGGAGGCGCTGAGTTGGGAATCATTTTGTCGACACAGTCGTTGCATAATCCACGGAAAACCACGGGAGATTTTCCACACTGGAAACAGAACATCTTTTTTTCTATGCAAGTTACGTTAGTTGTGTTTGGCTATTAAGGGTGCATAAGTATGGGATTCTGCTGCTTACTCTTGATCTAGAAATGGAAAGGACTGGGTCGTCTTGATGTTTTGAGGACAGGCCTGGATCGTCTGGAAGCTGTAAGGGAAGGGCTGGATCGTTGTCTGGATGTGACTTATGCAAGGCTTGTTTTGTCCTTATGTGTAACAAGTAACGGGTAACACTATGGAACGAACAGAATCTATGTGTTTACATTTCTGATACAGGTGGGGAATGTGGCTTCTGTAGTGCGCCATGCCCTGTATGATTTTCAGGATGTATTTGACCTTTTTCAAAATTGATGGCTAATTTGGCGGTTCAGTGCCATGCATGGCGGCTCAGGGGCAATGATGGCGGCTCAGGAGCATGGGTGGCCAATTTGGCGGTTGGATTCATTTTTCAATTTGGCCATTCTGGCGGTTCAGGGGCGTCATTTGGCGGTTGTTTGGCCAAATTGGCGGTTCATCCCCATGTTTTCATTTTTTTTGGCCAAAATGGCTGCTCAGTACCTCCATACCCCAGGGAATTAGATCAAGATTAATACCTTTCAGGATAAGAATTCTGAATTAACAAGAAACAAATCAACAAATATAAATTACAAAAGCTCTTAGTCAAAAGGAATATGAAACCCATATTATCTTGTAGTTTTTTGTTGAAATTTTTTGATACAGACATTCTGTTGGTAGTGATACAAAGTATTCTTTTCTGTACTGACAGCTGCTTCTTTTTCATGAAGAAATTGTTTCAACATAAGACTGTTGACTTTGTATCCATTATCCAGAAACAAGTAGACTCAATTCTTTCCACTGTTTGCCAGTTTGTTTCTCTTCAAATTTGATGCTTCAATAACAAAAGAAGTAGTTTTGGGCTTAAGATTTAGAATCTTAAAATTAGTGTATACAGACCCTGCATACCACACATTTAACATACATGTCCCTCCTTTGAAAGCTTCCAGTTTAAAAGTTCCAATATGATACATGTTATAAACATAACATAGGTAAAAAAATACACTTTTGAGGAAAGAAAATTCATTAGTGGGAAAGTGAATACTTCCAGGGGGAAGGATAACTACATGGTGTCAGCCACAAAATTCACACAACTGAAAAAAACTCACATACAGGATACAAGAGCATGATCTCTGTTCTGAGTATTCCAAAACAGATTTTTGAATGGTCAATGTGCAATATGGGGATTCAGAATAAAAATATACAAAATTTTTATAGCCCATTTTAAGGTGTTTACCTTTTTTTTTGATTGTTCATGAACCTCAAAATCATTCTATCTTGCCAAAATTCTAAAAGCTTGTTGATGAGAATCTTTAAATTGGCTATGAAAAATTTATATATTTGAATTCTTAACCCCCCTAATATATGTGAACACTCAATTTGCATTTCAAAAATCAAATTCAAGAAATATTTAATGATCAGCAGTCACACAAGTTTCCTCAGAGATTTTGTTTATTTATTCATCTATCTATGGTACCATTTTTGATATTTTTGGCATTTCATGCCCCTGTCTTTGGGCTGGGTATACTGTAAGTATACTCAAGTCAAGATTGGCTGATAAAAATTTCTGATCCCCTCAATAATGTATCTCAAAAATTGTTGGACCATCAACATGATCAGAGCTATTGTCAAACAGAAAACTCTGTATTTTCAGAAACCTATGCACTCAAAACACTGGAAACACCCAGGGTTTTTAGCCCAGATACAACAAATGGTCCACAACACATTTGTAAACAAGTCTCGACTTTTCATCCTTTTACTTCCAAGAAGCAGATATGATCCTGAAGGCAGTAAGGCTGAAGCCATTGGTTGTGCTGATTTCCCTCCCTTTCACACAGTCCTCTGGTATGTGGATGGCAAATTGTTTCATCAGCTTTTTTTCAGCTGGAGTATGTACAGTCAGCCAGGATGCCTTGTTCTGGAAGTGTCAGAACAAGGTAGCAATTGAACTCCCTCCATGTTAGAATAATTGCTGCCTCCTGTAAGGGATGGTTTGATATAAATTCAGGAGAATTGTATAAAATATCTGCCCCTTCATCAACACCTATGATCATAGTTATTTAGCCTAATATATGAATACTTGTTCCCATATTATAGAAAACCTCTGGCTAGTGAATTCAATCTATTTCCCTAAAAATTATTGATAAAAATGACCAAAATCAGCCTAGAATATTTCATTCTCATAACCTCACTTTTTGGCTCACCTGGTACCACTACCAGTGCACTCCCAAACTGCAGATTACAACCCCGCTCATTTTTTGATGAAGCTTTAGCAGGATCTCAAAAGCTTTTCACAGATCAACCAAGCCCCAGGAATTCTGGGGTGACAAATGTGATTGGGGAAGAAGATTCATCTGAAGGCTTCCTCCCAAGTGGGTCTTCTGATATGCAGGAAGCTCTGTCCTCCTTCAAACAAGCAAGAGATAAGATTTTTGACAGTGACAGTGATGAGGTTCCCATGAGCAAGAAAAGGAAGACCAGCTGGCCACAGATGGAAAAGTTCACAACATCACATCATTCAGAAACAAATGGCCATCAAAGAGGACATCTAATTCATCAAGAACCAGATTTGGGAGTATTGTCAGCTGTGGATGCTTTTGCATTAAGCTTAAGATTAGCAGCTTCACAAAATGATGAAGAAAAAATGGCAAAGTTTTCTGAACAGGCATTAGATTTCATGGGCTATCAATTGGCATGGGCCTTTGATAATGGATCCACACAAGAATCACTAGAGGAGCTTAAACAAGCCTTGACACAACAGATTGATTTTTCAAGTAACATCCCAGCAGGCCATTGGTTAACATTATTTGATAATCTGATCAAGCAACTCCACAAAGAACCACGCAGGGATCAATATTTGCATGTTACTTATGCCAGACTCAGTGTGGATAACAATCCCCCTCATTTCCGCTGTGCATCTGTACATTATCTGCCAAGTCATTCATCCAACTTGCTTGAGCTCATAGGATTCAGGGATGTAACTTGGGAACCTGAAGAAGGTGAAATCTCTCCAAAGGAGGAAAACAAAGATTTCTCTCTCTTAAACTTCTTAGCAAGGAATGGATCAAAGGGTTAGTCTGAAATTTTGGCTGAATTATCTTTTTATGAATACAAAGAATCATTTCAGCTGATTTCTGTTTTAATCTTACACTGCAGATCTGATGTCTATTCAGCAGCCCAGAGGAGTCTTCCGTATATCCCAATGGAATTCATTGAAGGAAATGGCTCCTGAAATAATCACACATGGAAAGCTTTTTGTTTGGATGAAGGCAATATCTGAAGAAATAAAAGATATAAAAGATCAAGATCCCAGAATGTACAAAATACTGATTTATCTGGAGGGAATCTATAGGACATTATCAGAGCATCTTGTTGAATCAAATCATGATCTTAAATTGATTTCTCCTAAGGGAAGTCAAGATGGATTAGAAGCAATTGAGAAGAAGAAATCAACAAGCCCTGCAGATAGAGAAGAAGAAATCAATCCAGACTTCCAGCTGAATACAAGGATCAGAAAAACCAGAGAAATCATTTATTTTGCTGCCAAACACTTAAACAAGCTTTCAGGGCTCCACAACTTGGAAGAGGAACTTGATTCAATGCTAGATACTTACAAAGTCTCCAGAAAGAAACTGTATTAATCCTCCAATTAATAAACAGTGTGATAGTTTTTGTTGATTATAATCAAAGAATTTTCTGCCTGTTTAAGATCCCATGAAGTTCTTGGAACCAGATATTTTGATGTTGATTTATTGGTTGTCTGGGAAATTAAATATAACATCCTGAAAACCCTTCCGTCTTTTGATTTTATTTCTTTTTTGGTTTTTAGAAATGTGAGGCTTGAAATTTCAATTTCAAACTATCTCAAAAAAAAGAAGAAGAAGAAAAGCATTGTTTCTTTTTTGAAGATTGACTAAATCAAAGAAAAAACACAGATCACATCAGTATATGAGAAGTGAATTCTGAGACCTCCTGTGCAATAGCTATAGGTGTGGGGAGGGGTGGTGGTGATTGATGTTCTGAAGTAGTTGACTGTGCTAGTTTATGAAAACCAATCTAGCGTTCTGATCCGGACCCTGGTGTTGGCCAAAAAAACTAGATTTCCAGAGCATGTTTTGGCACATTCAGGTAAGGAGACAGCCTACCCACCTCCTTCTTGGAGGTTTTTCAGACAGAAATGCCTAGGGTTTGATTGGGTTCAATTCAATCATGAAAATTCTTAAGAGTGTGTGGGATATCAAATACAAGGGTCTGGAAATTACAACCCTAGACAATTCCAATCATCCAGATGTTTATATGATGGACAATCCAGGGTTTTGGAAGACCCAGCATGGCAATGAAGTATTTCAGAGAAAAAGGGTCCAACGGACACTACAAGAGAATCTTTGAATTCTCTGGTGTGACAAGCATCACTTGCAGGATGGTAAAAAAAACTGTCAATCAGACACTAAGAGAGGTAAAGTGATGGGGCTCAATTGTCAAAAAATCCCAGCTAAAATCCAGTTGCTGGGTGAATATTTGTTCTCAGATGTTGCAATATGTGTCACTGGGGTTGCTGGCAGTGGTCAGTTATTGTGAAAAGTCAGACCCAAAGTGCAGCTGGCAGTTGAGTCCACTGTGTGGTTCTCAAATACAAGTGGGGGGGGCATAAGAAAAGTCTATTGTGGAGCTGTGATCCATACACAACTCATAAAAAAACACAGTCATTGGCTTGTTAAGACTTTATACATGACATGGTCAACAGCGCTTGACAACTTCAAACAAGATGGTTAACAGTGCCTGAAAACTTCAACCAAGATTTTCAACAGTCAACAGCCTCTTATGGAAGATAAGAGACTTTGATCAAGAAAGTTAAGTAGAGTTTTTTTATTATTGTTTCCTCACAGCTGGTATCCACATCAAATTGAAATTTTGCCTTGAGTCTTGCCCCATGACTACTTATTTCACTAGAAGAGCCACCATGAGACCAACCAATTAGCCCCCCCCCCTCATTTTGAATCCTGGATGATCACTCTCATGTCTCTCTTTTTCTAGTGACTCATTCTCTTGTTTATCATATCATCAGCATTTTCAGAAGGACACTTGCAACAGGTCATATCTAGGGTCCTTTTTTTCCTCATGGTGAGTTTTTTTTCTCTGATCATGTGCCACAAAAAACAACCATTCAACTGAGCCAAAATATATGAAGATTGGATTTATATATTGACACACAGGGCTGATAGAGAGCCAACCAAAGTGACATGCCGCAGTTTACTTGTTTTCCCCAGCCTGCAAACACATTTTTCTTACAGAAGTTGTGAGTCAGCTGCAATTGAGGACTGGCACTTTGAGCAGCTATCCAACCCAACTGCATCTCCAACTGCACCATACCAAATATTTGACATGCTTTAAACACAACACCAGGACTTTCTTTTTTGAAAAAAGGAAGAACTGGCAGCATCAGTGTTGTTGGTTGATTTCTTGGTTGGCTTTGGGGGGGGGGAGGGTTGCAAGGATGTTGGTTTTGTTTTTTTGGGGACGGAGACTTGTTTTTTGTTTTTTGGAGGAGATCTGTGGTTTGGAGTTTCTGTGTGGGTTAAAGATAGGGGATGGAGTGGAGATCAGGATTGGATGAGTGAGATATGGATGTGGGGACCTATCAACAAGGGATGAGTGAAGTGAAATGCAAGGATTGTGCAGGCTGGGAGGTGACTGGCAGAAGGCCGTAGGGGTGTGGCGGTTTAGACAGCCTCTGGGGATGTTCCCAGGCTCATTCTGCGGGACCTTTGGAGGGCAAACATGCAATTTGGACTGTCAATGTTTTCCCCCAGACACCCAATTGTGGATCTGTGGGAGTTACTCTAACTCACCCTGTTGTACTTGAGGCGTCCAATCCACATTTAGTTTTGCCATGAAGGTTTTTGATAGATACCCATCCAAATTTGGGGGCTGATTAGACCAAGACAAACTGTACAAAATTCTGGACAGATAGGTGTAGTATTAAGGCTTTGTTTGGCCTTCCATGATCATCATAAACAATCCTTGCAAATCCTTTGGGTGTGCTCCTCCTATGATAGGGGGCCTCAGACTCCTCCAATATGAGGGGAGGTTTTTTTCCAACATTATTTCCCCCTCCCATTTCCATATTTTGCGCCCCCCCCCCCCCTCAAAAAATTTTTTTTGTGTAATACCGTTAATTTGTGGGCTCTCTCCAGTTTCTGTTTCCCTTAAAAAAAACTCTATATCCCCCCCCCCCCCCCCCCCCGCTTCACCCCCCCCCCCCTCTGACAGACACCAATATGCCTCCCCAGCCTCCTAAACCATCCACTCCTCCCAAGGTGTACCAAACAGCCCACACTAACACTTTGGTATTGGTTATGTGGATTTTACAGACGGTGTGAGAACTCCTTTGGGATAAAGGGCAGTCCTGCGAGGGAGCAATAACAGTGATAATATTTCAGGTATGTACAAAGCTATTACAGCTGTTACAGGGGGTTTGGAAGAACTGCCCCTCTAATGTACTACACTAGAATTCTGACAACAAATTTGTTTTATTATTGTGGCAAAAAACTATATGTAGTAGTCTCTTATCAAACCTAGATGAATGTGGAATCAGCAAAAAATTTGTGGAATTTTCTAGTGGAAAGAATTTGGTGTGGTTTATGGCAAGCTGGGATCAGATAATGGAAAGATGTGTAAAAAAATTGTGAGATATTTTTGTATTTTTTATATGTTATGGGTGAAGTACAGTAAATGTGGATATGTGAGAAGACTGAGAGGAAACTGAAAAATTGATGATGAAATTTCTAAGAACCTAAAACCATACTAAAAAGAAAAGAACAAGAAAATGAGACAATGATCAGAAGGAAAGAGAGAAGAAAGAGATAAAAGAATAAGATTGCAGCATACCACTATTGTAGATGGAAAGAGCGGATGAAGATTGAGGACTTTGATGACAAGCGTGCTAGAGTAGCAAAGATCAGAGAATCTAAAACAAGAAAAGAACAACAAACATAATTTAGTGATTTGATCATCAAACAAAAACAATGGAAGAAGAAAAACAAACAATATGAGAATAGCAGATTAAATTGAATGTTTGGGTGAACAGTTTTGAGGACTGATGAAGAATTGATGAGCAAAGAGAAGAGAAAAAAAAGAGGAAGATGAGATGAGTGATTTTGGACAAGAGTCTTAATTGAGGAACTCTATACTGGATTGTTTGACCAGTATCGGCACATTATAGGGTGGCAGGATCTTGAGTACTTGAGGAGAGTCAAATCTTGATGAGTCTTGACAAGATTGAGGATCAGGGAGGAGTGCAAGGCCAGGCAGTCATTTATGCCCAATTGATCTCAACCATAACCGGTTGATTGACAAGACTTGGGTTTCTCATCAGAGCAGCTCGGTACCACAGTAATTTCCAGTTTCACTGTGATTTCAACAGAAACTGATGATAAATATGAGCTATTCAAAGTGTCTTTTGCCCTCCTCCTTAACCTTCAGTTAAGAGAACAAATGAGTTAAGATCACTTTGAATTTTTAAGATCTCAAGAGGTGATGCTTGCTATGTACTTGACTTGTTTTATGCTTCCTGAGGTATGAAAGATGTTGAGATCACACTGTTAGAGCATCTCCAACGCGGGAGGTATATTGGGGTGGTAAGCCCCATTTACCACCCCAACTCCCAAAACACCCGGCCACCGCGGGTGGTATACAGGGTTGTAAACAACATTTTTGGTCCAGAAAATGTACCGAGGTTGTATATCTACCACCTCTGTACCACCCCTGGTACCTCCCTCAGATTTGTGAAACCATCATTCCAACCTGCAAAACCCCCATAACCGCAACCCGTTCACATGGAAATATCTCTCACTCAACCTTGCCCATTCAATCTCAGTGCAGGTTTACCACTTTGTGGTGGCGCACCTGCCTGATTTCAGGTGGCAACTCTGGAACGCGGGTGGTAAATCCTACATTTACCCGGATTTACCTCCCGCGGTGGAGATGCTCTTAGGTTTTTCACCTTAATATGACTGAAGACTCTGAGTGAGGATTGGGATGAGAAACTGATCTTAGGAGGAAGAAATGGCCTCCTTATATAGTAAATTGTGAGAGATTTTTGCTAGTGGGGAATTCCTATGAGGGATTCATGCTACTTGGAACTTCTATTGAGGGATTTTTGCTGCATGGAAACTTCCAATGAGCCATTTTTTCTGTAGTGTGTTGTGAAAATATGTGTGATCCAAAGCATGTGACAGGTGATGTGATTTGACGATACGTGTGATCCAAGGCATGTGATCATATATGGGGCCAAACATGTAATCATACCTATGCATGCATGTACATCTAATAATTTAAATAGATACTTGTGTCTAGATTTACAATAACGTCAAGACTATATTCTGTGATTTTATGAAAACAGTTTTATCCACATAAATTTTGACTGAGTAGAGCTAGCCTAGTGGTTCCAACTTCCAGTGAATGACAATGGGTTAAACGACCTGTAGAATCCAATAAAGCAATAACAAATATCCAAGATTATAGCCTCTTATCAAGAGTGGATCATGCGTTTATGTGATTTGGTACTTCATGAAACACATTTGGCACACTACAACCGCCTGATCATTTGCACAGCCTCATGAAAAGGATCCAACCTATATTACATAAGATTCTGATTTGATGATTTGCATTAATGGCTGCCATCTGGGATGACGCTTGTGAATGGCCAAACAATCAAGCCTACAATAACACTCCTGTTTTTCCTGGCTGTATATCTAAAAAAAAAAGTCCACATTATTAATCAAAGTGTGGATCGGATCCTGCAGTTGCAGGGTCTGGGGCCCTCCCAGTTTCTGATTCAGACCTGATCACCTATTCCTAGGCTTCATATATCCAATTTTGGGGGGCCCCCTGGGTCCTGCTCATGGGAAGTGTTGGCCATCTTGTACAGGGACAACATAATCTAGTAGACATGGTCTTTATCAGTACAGTTGCTTATAAACCTGTCTACATCGAGCCTAACACAAGCCTCGCTGGTGAGAGCCCGGAGGGCAGCCCCTCAGGGTCTCTGTCTCACAGAGAGGCTTGCCCCCAAAGCCCCAAACCTGGTGTGGATCCTGAGAATTTTAACCTTCCAATAACCTGTGTTTTCCACAATAGGGCCCCGTGAATGAAATCCAAACAGAGAACTACATGTTTTGGGGAGATGCCCATGAAGGTGTGCATCTTGCGCACTCACCGGGGCCCTCAGCATGTTGATTGGCCTACAGATGACCCCTCTGTGCCCCGAGGAAGTCGATCATCAGCTGAGAAAATGGTCGGAAAAGTATGTCTTACATCCTGATGAAATCGGCATTCTTCCTGTACTAAAGCTGTATTAGAATATTGGTGATGGTTTTGCTGTTACACAACAGCATAATGACAGTGCATTATGGAACGCGAGCATGGACTTAAGAGAAACTATGCTCCTATGTTGAGATGTATCAACTGTGGGCCAGTTACGCTAACCGTAGTGTTAGTGCAGCGTAGTGTTAGCTTTTTAAGCTACGCTACACAAAAGTTACTGTTAGCGAAAAATTTGGCCCACTAACACTACAGGATTTCTGAAAAAACAAAAAAAACTTTAGCGTAGTGTTAGCTGACTAAAAAAAACAACAACTAACACTAACCAAATCCCTTGTTAGTGGAATTTTAGCGTGGTTAGTGGGCTAAAAAGTTACACTAACTGTTAGTGTAACTTTTTGATAAGTTACACCAACTGTTAGCGTAGTGATCCCCTCAGTTACACTAACTGTTAGCGTAACTGATCAAATCGTTACACTAACTGTTAGCATAACTGATTACTGAGTTACACTAACAGTTAGCGTAACTGATTACGCTCCTCCAATTGAAAAAAGCAGGTGGTATCACTAGGGGTGAGAGTTTGTTTGAGAATCTGGTTTCGAAGCTCCTGTTTTTTTTTGGCTTGGCACCGTTTCTTTGCTGCTTTCATACTGGCATTATTATTACTATCCAGAGATAAATTAGTCCCCAGGGGTTTGAATCACCCCAAGATCCATTTATTCCATCATTTAGTAGCCAGCTGCAGGAAAGGGAAACAGGAAGAGTAAGAAGAAGCAAAAAATTAGATCAGCAACCTGCGGAAGCTTAACACAAATTTGAAATCATACCGCTTTTTTGGCCCGTCCTGTTTGTAATCCACAGTCAATGGTCAAGAAAATGTGTGTGGGAGTACCTAAATCAAAGAGGGGGGAGGTTAGCAAGCATCAGAGCCAGGGTAGCAGTCTTCTAGTTTGTTCCCTTTTGGGGAAGCGATTGATTTTTGCTGGTTGACTTTGAGTGGCGATAACCTTTGCAAAAAAGGTCCGATTTGCTTAATTTTTGGTTCGTTGGAAAGCTAGCATCAAGGGCTACAACTTTGTCAGCCATTATGTTGACTAAAAGCGAACGGTTTCTGAGATCGAATCGATTGAAGTTAGTCCAATGCAATCCAATGAGAGACCTAAGTTTCAGAAGAGGGAGTAAGCTGAAGAGACTTTTGGATTGGAGGATGTAATGGAGGTGGTTGTGATGAGTATTTAATTGAGATGAAGATAAGATTGAGCTTTGATGAAGTTGATGATGAGGATGAGGATGAAAAATCTTGATGGGGTCTTGCTTGGATCGGAAGAGAATGGAGGTCCAACATCCATCTCCCCTTGCTTGAACTTCAAGTTCAAACTCAGAGCCCAGGGAGTGAACATGTCACAGGCATGTCCATGACATCCTCTTGCTGACTGAACCTCAACTCACCGACCCATTCCTCATGTACTGCTAGTCATGTGGACAAGGAGGATGTCTGGAGATGCTACTAACCTGTCATGTCAAGTGTTCAATTCCACCTCAAGGCATGCATTTGTGTTATTTTCTCACTTGAAATTTTTCATTTGTCCACCATTGTGTAGTGTAGCGTAGTGTGGGACCAGTTACGCTAAATGTTAGCATCAACTCAGTTACGCTATCTGTTAGTCAAAATTTTGTTAGTGAAAAAAAAGTTACACTAACTGTTAGTTTAGCGGTGATTATTTGAAGCTAACACTACAGAAAATTTGAGATAAAAATTTCACGCTACGCTGGCAGTTAGCTCAGTGGTGTTTAGCGTGCGCTAACACTACAGATCTTCTAGAGAAAAAAAAGGCCGCTACACTAACAGTTAGTGGTCAAATAGCGTAGTGTAGCGTAGCGGCCCACCGTTGGATGTATGGCCAGGGATCTCTCAAAAACCAACATTTTCAATTGCTTATATCTCTTTTAACTTTGGCATAGTAAGAGTAAAAACTATGTAGCCCAGAAGGGCAGAAGTAGAGCTTGAATCTGACACATTGGCGGAGGATTTGGCTCAACGGGTAAATTTTTTGCACAGGTGCAAAGATTGTTACCACCAAAGAGCACGGAAACGCCTCTCAGGATCCACACGAGTAGGGGGGCTTTGGGCACAAGTCCCTCCCTGCGGTCGGCGCAATGCGACAGTGGCGAGGCCACTCGCATGCCAACACCGCCCATAGCAGGGAATCGGGACTTGCGTTAAGTTCGTGTCTACATAGCCTTCTGAATCTGTGTGGATCACCTGCACATTAAGGGGCTTCTCCTCAACCTTGCTCTTGCTCCAAATTCTCTGATCGCTCTATGGGCATACATACTAAATCATTCTCCCATGGTGTGTATAATGTCTTTTCTTTTTGCTTTTGTTTTTATAACGGAGCACCCTTCAGAATATGGAAGGCAGACAGTGATGAGCGGATAAGTACATACATACTTTTTTATGTATGTATGTAGATACAGTGTGACTAAGTTTGAGCGGAAGATCTGCAATGGATTCCGGTTGATTATCTAAGCAAGTCGGCGCATACATCCCTCTTCCCCCTCCCCCTCCTTCCGAGTCTCAACCAATCATCACTTCCACCAAAAAAAAGAATACCAACAGCTTAATCAACTATGGCTCACAAGCAGCACGACGACCATCGATCATCCCCGCCACGGTCGATCGAAGAGCTCAGTGGGATCGCCCAGGTTCCGTTCGACGCTCGTCTGGCGATCAAGTCCTACGTCCGGAGCTGTGAGATGCTATACCAGCAGTTAAATCACACTTCTTTCATATTCAGCAGCCATCACCAAGAATACATACTGACTTTGGGGGTTATTCAAGCAGGGCTAAGAAGGATGAGGAGCAGCTCGAACTGGCTTACATCTACCTCTCCAGAGCAGCCAGGTAAGCACTCACTCACTATTGAGCCCACACTGGGGGACTAACTGACACTACCACCACAGGATCATCATCCATGACTTGCCCAGCCATCCCGACTACCACCAACTACCACCCAGCTATCAGGCTCAACTCAAAGCAGTCAGTCCCATCTCACCCACTCCCATCCATACTAAAACTGACACCTTCTAATCGTAGGATGGACTCAAATACCTCGAAGCACTCCTGCCCATCAAATCCAAACTCAAACACCAACACCAACTGGTAAGCAATCAAACTATTCTTAATACTATTTACACTCATACTCATACTGACTATAACTACTACTACCTTCAAACAAACAGTACCAACAACAACACTCATTCAGCCCATCCCAATCTTCCTCCCTCTCCAACACACCCCCACAACCCCATCAACACCCCAAACAGAAATCATCCATCTCCGACTGGACCCTCATCGACTCCCCCGAACTAAGCTACGAACCACTACTCCCGAAACAACAACAACAACACTGCTCTCCACATAAAAAACTCCACAAGAACCACCATCTCTCATCCCCCATCACCCGGCGCTCCTCTTCCTCTAAATCATCACCCTCCACCTGCTCCGACTCGTCCACCAGCGTCTTGCCTTCTGCTGCAATCAACAACCATCGGATCGTCAACCCTTTGGTCTGGCCCGTCGAGCTCGGAAACGGGCTCGGGAGGCCCATGACCGTCGCACTCCCTCATCACAACAGACCCTCTAGTCACAGGAATCATCACCAGCTCTCCGTCGATCTCCCTGACTCCTCTCCTCCGACTCGAGAACATCCTCATTCCTCCAAGAAAAACCCACTCGCATCGAGCCAGCCGATCAGCTCCAGGAGCTTCCGTCATCTCGGCCTCTACGAGCTCCAAGACCCTCCCAGCCCATCTCACCAACCTTCTCCTCCGTCTCTCAATCGCTCTGCAACTCAAAAAGAACAAGCCCAGGACAGTTTGAAAGCCAAGAAACAGAGGGCCAGTTGGGCCGACCGACGTCCACTCCCTGCTTCTGCCACCACCACCGACCCTCAAGAACCCTCGCAGAGCTTGGCCCGCTCGTTTCGCAGTCTGTTGAGACCCCGAAGACTCTCCTGGTCCTCCGCCTCCCCCACCGCGATCACCAAGCCCCGTCGAGCTCCCTCGGTCGAGTCCTGGGCATCCGTCCAGATCCCCTCGCCTCCTCCTCCTCCTCCTCCTGTTGGTTTGGAGTCCCCGGCTCATATCCTTACTCCCCTCCAACAACAACAACAACAACAACAACAACAGACTCGGTCTCGGTCTCGAAGAGGATCGCTCGGCGAACCGGCGTCTTGGCGATGGCTGAAAGCCCTCAAATCCTCCCCCGATCCTTCTTCCCCTTCTGCTTCTCAACAACCGCCGTCCAATGGCCCGTTATACACCCACTTCCCAGCCCTAATATCTCCCGAGCTTCATCCCTCTCGACCCAGACTCCCCTCCTTACCTTCTCCGTCTCCTTCTTCTTCTTCAACAGCACCGCCAATTCATCATCATCATCATCATCATCATCATCACCGGAAGGCTCAGCGTGAGACGAAGCGTAGAAAACTGCTCCTCTGTCCCGCTCAGCTCGTCGGCGCTTTCGTCGCCATGGCTGAGCCTCAAACCGCCCAAGGAATCGAACTCTGTGGGCTCTTACTCGGATCGACCGTCCGTCCCCTTTTCTTCTTTCTCCCGTCTTGTTCTTCTGGGATCCTCTTTGATTGGCTCCTTTTTTTTTCTCAAAACAGATCGGAGATCGGTTGGTCGTCAATACTTTATTGATCCCCCGCCAGATCTCGACCGCTAATAGTTGTCATACCGTCGACGAGGCCCAGACGTTCGAGGTCCAGAGTCGGGCCGGTTTGCTCACCCTCGGCTGGGTTCGTCCTTCCCTTTCCCCTTTTTTTGTTTTATGGTCACGAAGAATAGCTGAGATGGCCGCGGGATCTCCGGGGCTGTGTGTGTTTAGATCCATACCCATCCTACTCAGACTTGTTTCCTCTCCTCGGTCGACCTTCATACCCATCTCTCTTATCACCTCATGCTCCCCGAATCCGTCGCGATCGTTTGTAGTCCCAATAAACACCCCAGGTCCGTCCCTTCTTCTTCTTCTCTTGCACAATGTTTAAACTTACTCGATCTCGATCTCGGGTCCGGCACGATATCTTTCTTTTCGTTTTCTTTTGTGTGTGTGTGTGTGTGTGTTTTTTAGTGTGGGCGTGTTCAAGTTAGTCGAGCCTTCCGGCGTCGACTTCCTCCGACAATGTCCCAACAATCTGGACGCGTTCCATCCGCACGACATGGCCGACAACCTTCTCTACACCGTATGCGTCTCTCCCTTCTCCCTTCTTTCTTCCTTCTTGGGCTGTCATGGTTAGTTGTTGTTGGTTGATGTCTTTTTTTTGGGGGGGGGGGGGTTCTTAGACGCCGGCGAGAAATGAATTTGTGTTTGTGGAGCCTGGGGGGCAGCAGGCTGATGATGATGATGTCGGCGACGACGGTGGTGGTGGTGGGAGCGTCGGACTCGACTTCGAGATCATCGATTTGCGCGGGCCGGAGTAGCTATTCCCGGGTCCTCTTCCTCTTTCTTCTCTCTTTGCTTCTTATCGGTCTGCAGATTGTTTTTTTTTGAATGAGAGTGAGTGATGATGAAGAAAGAAACGGATTCAAGTATTTAGTGGCTTTTTTTTTGGGGGGGGGGGTAGAGGTAGATGGCCTTGACCCGACATCCTTCCTTTTTTTCCTCCTCCTCTTCCTGTTGGTTATCTTCTCCATTCGAAGTGTTGAGTTTTCAACTTCTCTGGCTACTCTTCCCCAAATCACTCCCTCTTTTTCCCATTTTTTCCATCTGTTCCCTTTCATGAATCTTCTTGATCTAGACTGAACTGTAGTCTTTCACTGCTGGTTTTGTGTTGAATCTTATGCACTTCTTGGAGTCTAATTAGAACTATCAAGAGCAATTATCAACAACTCCTGTCTTTCTGATTGATTCCTTTCTTTTTCTAGTTCACTATTTGATTCCTAAAAACTGATTGTTAAGAATTAACGCCTCTTATTCATTTGTGGTTGTGTGCATGTTTTTTCATGATTAATTTGCTAGCTTTTCTAAAAGAGACTGAGAAGAATTGTCTGGCTGTTTCTTCCATGAACTCATTCATTCCTTCCTCTCAGTTTTTATTCAAAATACTTTTTATTCAATTTCTCTCAAACCACATTTTTAACCTTTTGTATTTAGTCTATTTAAAACAGGCTAGCTACAAGAAATAAAACTCATTGGTTCTTTCATTCATTTTTCCGTGAGCCTTTCCCAAAAAAGACACTCATCCTTTTTTGAGCCCTTTTTCTCAAAACCCCTCAAAAATTCTTCCCCTCTCGAGCTCAGAATTTCAACACAAAGAAATATATGTGTTTGTATTAGAATATAGGACGGACAAATGGGCCGATGGGGTCTTAGCCTTCCCTTTCTTGCACTCTCAGGCTTCGTCGACCCGCTGGGTCGGACGGCCTTCCGTGGCTGTGGCTGATCAGCAGAGCGGGAGAAACTTCCCAGCCTATGGCGCTGCAAGCCGTGCTTCTTGTGTGTATCTCTACACGACAACTAAAAAATAAGTCCTGCTTCGTGGGTCGTAGGAGTTGGTCACATCCTTGTCATGCTCCACTTTTTGTTCTTTCTTGATAGTGCTTTGTTGAGTTTTCACCTCTTCTTCCTACTCTTCCCCAAAACAGTCCCTCTTTCCTTTACTTTCTTCCCCTCTTACTTTTCTTCAATCATCTTGAAATAGACTGAATTATAGTTTGTCATGGCTGGTTTTTTGTTGAATCTTATGCATCTTAGTAGTCTAATTAGAACTCACAATAGCAATTTATCAACAACTCTTGTCTTAATGATTGACTTCTTTCTTTTTCTATTTTCATTATCTGATTTATCAAAAGCTAATTGTTTTGAATTAACGCCCCTAAACATCTGTGGTAGAAATTCTGATTTTTCTTGATTAACTATTCTTGCTTGACTAAAAGAGACTGAGAAGTCCCGCTATGAATGTTTCTTCCAAGACCTCATAATTTTCTGTCTCTTAGTTTTTATTCAAAATTCTTCTTATTCAATATGCCTCAACCACAGTTTGATCACATGTATTTAGTCTACTTAATCCGGCTATTTAACTGTGAATGAAAATTATCGGTTCTTCACACTCTTTTTCCGTGAGCCCTTCCCAAAAATAAGATCCTCTTTTTTTGGCCCTTCACCTCTTGTGCGCTTTGGCTTAAAATTTCAACATGCTTGTTTCGAGCTTTGCGGACACAATATGATTGCACAGTTTGTACATATCATCCTTTGGGTACCTCATGATTGTTAAGCTACAAATCCTAGTATCCAGATGAGATGAAGAAACTCCCCCAAGGAGAAAGCATATTTCAGATAATCTAAGAGAACTTTTTATAGTCTTGTAAATACATACTTGGGTTGATGAGCCGTAAAACCATAATAGAAAATATAACAACATAGTATGTGAAAATGAAGTGACATGAGAAACTATAAGTATGGATATATAGGTAAGTCCATACTGTATAACAACAATGATCAACACTTAGAGTCCGAAAAGTGTTTGCACAAGAGGTATTGTGTTTTGAAGAATGGATGGACAAATACAAAATTTCCAAATCTTTAGGTTATGTACATACATATGTTAGCGCTGGAACCCGTTTCCGGGACCTCCGGGTATACCCGGCGGGTACACCGCCGGTTGTACCCGCCGGTTTAGGGCTCCGGGACAGCTCTTCAGGAGCCCGAAGACCAACGGGTAAGTCGGGTATGGTCCACGGGCCGCCTTGGAGATACCCGCGGGTATCTTGGGTTGTGCTGGGGGAGGGCCTCTACTCCTCCCCAGACTGGGGTACCCGCGGGTATCTTTGAGGTGGCCTGTGGACCGTACCCGCGGGTATCTTTGAGGCGGCCCGTGGACCGTACCCGCCTCAAGTTCAACCCCGCGGGTACCTGTGGCCCGTTCCCTATACCCGCGGGTATGTCTCAGTCACACTGATTTTTGTACCCTTGGGTTGGGGCGCGGGCAGGGCCAAAATGCTTGGGTACCCCGCGGGTTCCAGCACTAGGTTATGTGGTTGTGGTGCACAGCCCAGGTTTACATAATCCGTGGGCAGTTAGTGATCATTGGCTTTATTTTTCACAAGGGGGAGAATAAACCTGAGCTTGCAAAATCATGGAATCACATGATTTTGGAACAGAACACTTGGAAATCCGTCTAAGCTTTCTTCAAACCACAATATGTTCTGCCAGGAGAATCAGGGGTTTTTTTTTTTCTTGCAAGGCAAGCAAGCAAGTAATTGTAGGCTCTGATAGAGATGGTTGCTTTGCATCCGGATATCCCCGCGGATGTGGATATCTGCTCACAATTTCAGTGGAATCAGACATCCACATCCGAATCCGCATCCGCCAGCGGGTATTGTCAGCTTGAGTGATGCCAAGAGCTTGACTCTTCTAGCTAAACCAGGTGCGAAGCTAAGAAAAAAGGTGTACAAGTGTGGGTAACACTTGGAATGGGGAGGTGTTTGATGTTAAGAAAAGAAATAATAAAAACTGTTAAGTTTTTATAAAAGGAGGGGCCTGAGTTACAGGGGTTTTATGGTGCCCTCCAATGAATCAGGACCTGTTAAAACAGGAGTATTTTTTATGTACCTGATGTTCTGGTCCATTGTGTAGAAGGAGTATGCCCAGACAATGCCTACAACTGAAGTATCAAGGAAATATTACCTACTTGTACTATTTCCAAGCCAAGGGGGACTCCAGGTGGGTGAAAACTGGTCTGGAAGCGCTCAGAAAACTAGGTAACAGGTGGTGGGAGAGTTCTGGCAAACAGTTGATGGTTGATTGGTTGAAATTCAGGATGAAAAACAGCAGGAACTGGGCCAAAAACAGGTGAAAACTGGTTGTTGGAGGTGGTTATTGCTGGTAAGTGATGATGAAGATGGGGAATCAGAGTTTGGGGGAAAGAAGGGCTCCTTATATACTCATTCTGGGCCCTTGGAGGGGAACTCAGAACTCTTTTTGGCTGGTGCAAGCCTCCTACTAGGCATTGGTGACCTGTAGCACTGCCTAGGCACCTGTAGTCCTTGGTTACAGGTGTCAGAGGGCTGAAGTGAGGCTTGTAACACACACTGAGGGGTGCTGTGACAAACCTGCAGCCATGGTTTGGTCACTGAGACCCTTTAATGGCGTAGTTAGCCAAATTGGGCCAAAAAGGGCCAAAAATGGCTTTTGACCAGCCAGTTACAGTTGTTGTGACAATGTAGTTAAGGTTTCAATTATGTAAAATTTATTTGTAGACTTTTCCCGAACTGCATGAACCTTAATTACATGTGTAGACCTGTCACAACATGTAGTATGATGTAACTGGGAGGGTTTCTAGCAAAATGAGCAAGTGTCACTCAGAGTACACAGACATGAAGGAGTAATAATTAAGGGGTACCTTTGGTGAGGTACCCTAGGTTATTTTGCATGGAAATTAAGAATCTGAAATAATATTCTAACTTTTTGCTTAAGGTTCAGAATTTATTTGTAGATTCATGTTAAAAATGTTTATTTATAGGGCCTTAATAAAAAAACGCGGGTTTTCCACGTTTTGACGCGGTTTTAACGCGCCGCAGCACACGCGGTTTCCGCTTTTAGACGCGGTTTCGTAATTAATTTTTTATGGGTTATTTTTTGACTTTTTTTGAATTTTTAAAGTTGTTTCCTACACTATAAAAGGCGTAGAATTTAATGGTAAAAACCATTTTTCATAAAAATGAATTTTGATTATTAATTATTTTTTTCACTCATTTCTCAATTAATTGTTTGCATACATGTATGTACCTTATTTTTTATGCTTTTGTGAAATTTTAAAATTATTTCCTAGGTTTCAATGTGTGTAGAAATTAATGGTGCAATCCAGTTTCTTCAAAACTCAACGGTTCATTTTTAATACTGAAATTAGACCCATTTTTTCACTTGATTTTTTACAGCTTAATTCTCATCATTTTTTGACATTTTAAATTTATTTCCCACACTTTAAGACATGTAGAAAATGATGGTAACATCCATTTTTCCCCAAAATGAAAACTATACCTTAAATGCCGCATTTGACACGTTTTTTTTTAATTAATTCATCACTTTTTCACTTAATTGTTTGCATACATGTGTGTACCTTATTTTCTATGCTTTTTTGAAATTTTAAAGTTTTTTCATACATTTAAAAGTGTGTAGAATTTAATGGTAACATCCAATTTTCTTAAAACTCAACAGTTCATTTTTAATACTGAAACTAGACACTTTTTTCAATTAATTCTTTACATGTTATTTCTCACTATTTTTTGACATTTTAAGTTTATTTCCCACACTTTAATACATGATAAAAATGATGGTAACAACCATTTTACATAAAAATCAGCGCTTGTTACTGAATACTGCAGTGGACAGGCTTTTTTTAATGTTTTTTTGATTGATTTTTACCGGCCTGATCTTAAGCATTTTTTTTTATTTTAAATTTATTTCCTACATTTACAAATGTTTAGAATTGAATGGTGAAGTCCAATTTCACTCAAAATACAAGCTTCAATCTTAATAGATGAGCGTACCCTGTTTCTTGCATAATTTGTACCATGTACAAATTTTATTTGAATGCAAAATGGATACAGCCATCAATTCTGAAACCTTTAAAAGTGTAGGAAATGAGCTTGAAATTCCAAAAAATAAGGATAATTGAGCGTGTAAGAATTAATTCAGGAAACACGTCACAGGCATTATTCAAGATATAGTTTTCATTTTGATGATAATTCATTTGTTGCCATAATTTTATACATGTTTTGAAATTGTAGGAAACAAAATTTAAAATGTCAAAAAATAAATGATAAATAAAGCTCTTAATAATCAATTGAAAAAAGTGTCTAGTTTCAGTATTAAAAATGAACTGTTGAGCTTTAAGAAAATTGGATGTTACCATTAAATTCTACACACTGTTAAATGTAGGAAACAACTTGAGAATTTTAAAAAATCATAGAAAATAAGGTACACACATGTATGCAAACAATTAGGTGAAAAAGTGAGGAATTAATTAAAAAAAACGTGTCAAATGCGGCATTCAAGGTATAGTTTTCATTTTGGGGAAAAATGGTTGTTACCATCATTTTCTACATTTCTTAAAGTGTGGGAAATAAATTTAAAATGTCAAAAAATGATGAGAATTAAGCTGTAAAAAATTAAGTGAAAAAATGGGTCTAATTTCAGTATTAAA